AGCAGCAAGAAATTCCAATAATCTTTTTGTTTGACCAAGGGAGTCATTAAGATAATTACAGTTCAGGTCACCCAGTATAATGACTTCCAAATTCTTTCGAGTGGCATACCTCAGCAAGTCATCTAAATAATCAAAAACCTCCAGGGATTCGTTTAGGGCGCGATAAACACATCTGACCAAGAAATTCGTTTTCCATAATTGTACTTGAATCGAAATAGCTTCTGAGTCTTCTTCCAAATCTTTTCTTCGAGTATATTTTAGGTCTTCCAGTAAATAAAGCGCTACCCCTCCTCCACGACGGTTGTCTTTTCTGTCCAAACGCTTTACTGAGTAATTAGGAATTGCTATTTCAGAGTCTTCGATAGAATTGTCCAGCCAGGTTTCAGTTATAGCGATGATGGGAGGAAATACTTTGCTAAAGATCAATCTCAATTCATCGATATGTTGAAGAAGGCTTCTTGCATTTAAATGAACCAGCATGTTCTTACGTTTACTTATAGTTTGCGTATTTCTGTCTTGTATTAAACTTGCTTCAGGGTCAAAACCTGGATTAGGATGAACATTTCCACAGAGGGCTAAATTATCCAGTTGAAAAGAAGCAGTTGAATTGCAGTGATGGTAGATTCTGCGAAGGAAGAAGTGCTTCTTACGCTTGGGAACAAGCTTAAAACCAAAATGGCTGCCCAAACCAGAACGCTTTACAAAAGCGTGGCACAAGTTGGTGACTCACCATGCGCCAAGTACTTTCCACTAGATGGTGGAGACAAGCAACTCACTTCGGTTATTAAACATCTCTTGAGGTGCAACAAGTCTCTAGCGAAAAAAAAATTATCAAAAAGAGGAGAATTTTGAGAGAGCGAGCAAAAGCACGTCCGAATCCCATGATGACCGCTGACTCATTTTTTTCACGTAGAGCTTGCGATGAGAAAATAGATCAAAAGTGGAGAGCACAAAAGGTCGTGTCTAGCAGTCATTATGCTAATCCTGCTCTCTGCCTCTCTCTGCCTCGTTATGCTAATCCTGCTCTCTGACTCTCTTGTATCTCTAACAGATGCAAACGAAATAACTTGACTGGTCGTGCCCTCCTCTAACCTGGACTTGTAGCCTAGTTTGGCAAGGTCTAACAAAGACCGTTTCTCTAGAGACTTGATGCATTTCTCTAAAGATAGGTGTTTTTCGAGAGACCTTTGAAAGACCTTAACACACTCATCCTGAGGGAAGGTAAACACGGTTGACGATTCATTTATATGGTTAGTGGGATCATGAACCTGCTCCACTTCCGTCTCTTGCTTCTTCCTTGACTGAGTCGGTTTTGGGCTAAGGGGTTTAAATTTTTCCAGAAGAAAACTCAGATGAAAGCCAACTAATTCCATGCTCTGAAGTAGATAACACATAAAGAAACAAGATCTACTTAAACAGCACTGTTCATCCACTTCAATACTTCACTCTGCACAGCCTGTGAAGAGTGCCCCAATGGTCCACTTTACTGTGCGAACAGATGAAATGTTTGCTTTTTACATCTTATGACGACATTTTCTTCAGAACCACCATATTCTGCAATGTTCGTTTTAAAAATTTTGTAGAATAAATCAAGGGCTATGAATTTATAAAGGGGCTAAAGGGCTTAAGTCTTTTACAAAGCAAAACCCCACGGGGGTGGCAGACATCTGCTCCTCCTGCATAACAGGGTGGGAAATGGATGCCTTTCATGCGCCTGAAGGCTATAACAAACGATAAACGTACACCCTTTTACTTAAAATATAAAAAATGTATATTTGCACGATGACATAATTCTAAAAAAGGATGAAATTGTGAATTTTCATTAGACTAACCTTCTGATGTTGTTTCCGATGGGATCTCTTTTCCCTTTCCCATACAATAAGCGCGCCAAGCTACGAGAATTTCGTCTTTTTGATACCAATAATCTTTCTGTTGTCATCTACTACTGCTTCCTGTTCAACACTTTGCATGACAGCAACTCGAACTCCTTCTATCCCCCATGCGAAAGAAGAGCACTCTTCAGTTGTTCGGCATTGGTCACGTCATTTCCTTCATTTATGAAAGTCCTAATGTGATTCTTGCAGGTTGCAGCGAGCCTGTCTGTGGCACCTTTTCCATCCTGTGGGTCAGAAAAGTCAATGCCCTTGACTTCAATGCTGGTAGAGGAGGATATCACTGGGCATGAGAGTACGGTGGACGACGAATGATAACATCCTGCGTTATCTTGGCGAAAGAACGCCTTGTTAATCTCACTGTGCTCCAACTTGATGGTATTCAGAACATCTTGCATGATTTTAACCACTGTAGCACTGCCTTGATTGCACGACTACACTATGTGCAGAAAGCACTGCCACTGGAGTACCCCGCTCACACGACGGTAGACGACAGAAACGTGCCAGGAGATGCCTGTCACTAAGAGCAAACAACACACAATGGTCTGCTACGTTAGAGGGGCTAGTGACATGAACCTGTTGACAAAACAAAGTTGAGATTACTTCAATATAATAATGAATCAAATGATTTTTTAATCTTACAAATATTATTAACGTAAGGGGGCGAATAACTTTTAACCTTAACCTTAGAAAAGGCCACTATCCTCTTGTGCGCATTGTTAATCTTAAGAATTTATATGTGCACCATTTAGAGAAGAAAAAGAGTACAAAAAAATTTTTATATCGATGCATGTTTCGAAGAAAAACGTCCCTTTACGTGAGCTCTGCCCGAAAAAGATGTCCCAACGTGAAGAAAATGCTAGAATAAACACAACAGATGATTTGGAACAATTTGGCCACAAAATGTGGCAGTTTTAATTAAATCAATTATAACTAAGTGATAACAAAGAGCGGAATATCTGAACTTATCAACCGATAATGTCAACGTGGGACGACAAAAAACGCCACCACGAAACACAATGGATAAGGCTTATGATAAATTGGATAATTAAAGAAATATTGAGAACCCGTTGGAAGGTGATAGGGGTGGTGGAGGGAAAAGATTTCTTGAGCACTTGACGTTCGAATGGCGAGGGATAGAAGGGCGAATCAAGGAATTTCTCCTGGTTTTAACATAGCAAACTCCGCCCTTACTACTGATTGGTTACTGTTCGTACCTGGTACAAACCTCCCAACGGGTTATCATATAAACATGCCCCGACATAAAAAACATTATGTCTAGACATAATGTTTGTCTTTTTTTTCGGAATGATTTTGTTGATGAGGTAAAATAAGTCCTTATTTTTAGTTTTATTCAAGCTGTCTTTCTGGAGTCAGAATTCACATTACCTTATAGTCCCCCTTCAAACACTTCTTGCTTGTCATAAGAGCTTGCACAACTGTAGTCTCCAACTCCTTGCCGGAACCTAATTCCCCGATTTGGCGTACAAAGGCCACGAGATCATCAAATGCGCGAGCACCTTCAGCTGCAAAATAATCTAAGTCCTGCAGTGATTTTCTTACAGAGGCACTGCATTTAGAGAGTACCTGTCTCATAGTAGTTTTGCTGAATGGTTTGAATTTGGTCTCCAAACAGTACTGAGTGTACTGTTGTACCACTCGCTTGGGTATCATCATACGGCTTATGTTAGGTACTTAAATAACCTCCCCAGACGAAAGCTTGAAATGTTGTTGCCCAAATGGAAGGTCCCGAACAAGATGTGGGCTCGTGATGAAACCAAGAAAGTGGTCAAGCTGCCTCAAGTCTACTCGTATTCGTGTGGTAGGCTGTTGTGGAACTTGAGCACCTCGGCCAAACTGTGATCGATGAAGATAAGCCATGGAGTATCGGTATCTTGTCAACCTCGGGATATAATGGGAAATGTTGTTGAAAGTTCCAACCCCTGCCATAATCGAAAGCACTTGTCTACAGGTATCCCAGCTGGTTGCATTCCGGTACGGAGGAGGCTAAACATCACCAAAGTTCACTAGCATTATCAGGGATGACGCTCTTTAGCACAGTTGCTACTATTTCTGCAGCTCTCCTTGTCAGACGCTGTCTTGTTCGCTCAGAGAAATCACTCCAGGAAAGCCATGGCTTTCCAAGCGGTTCAAGTGTGCATGCTACCCGGAACTCACTCAGTTTTTCTTGCGGCTCAGCTAAGATCACAGGTGTGGGCTCGTCACTCTGAGTGAAAGCTGTGCTTATTGTGTCCGGTGACAAAAAAGTGTTATCAGCGATTGTAAGACGTCCAAGGCTTTCTGCGAACTCTTCAACAGATTGACTGGTATCACTTTATCCTGGAGATGAGTTTGAGCTGTTCTGTAACATACAAACAAGACGTTTAGACATCAATGTTACTACAATATTTCTGTTTATTTTGTGACTAGGCGTTAGCTTTTTTAGTATAGTTCGAAACTTAAGTTATACATAATTTTAAAATAGAAAATATGAATCTACATGCATACCGTTATCATTATCAATACTCCTGCTCCGGCCAAACCGAAAGGAATTTAAAGAAACAAACAGTGACCTATTCGTCTTAAAATCATTTTCAGAGTCATTTTCAAAGTTTACAGTTATTCACAGTTGCCCAGCCCTTTCGGAATTTCGACATTTGTTATGTTGGAATAACTGTCTGTATCCAAGGTTACCATTTACCTACTTGCATTTGCTTCTGAAGTCTCTAGTTCTACGCATGGAATAACTTCAACCATTAGTGCGGGTGTCACTTTCTGTTGTTGGTTTGTCTCCGCAAAATGTTGCTTGCGCATTCTGCAAAGAGCTGTGGCAAAAATAAATGTTAACCTTGTTAAAAGGCCATCGCCGGGAGTGGTGAATAAAGATCTTTTTTGCTATCGTAAGTGTTAATATTAGGTTTGCAAAATGTTAATGCCGCAGTTAAAAGCCTGCGATTTTTAAAGAGATGAACTCGTTTGCTTATTGTTCTTGCAAGCAGGACCTTGTTCTTGCGACCGTACAAGGTGCTACTTTTAGCATGCGCGGCCAACTGTACCACGGACACTATCTTAGCCATTACGCAATGGAAGGGCGAGGGAGAAGGTAATGCACAGGCGCGATTGCGTGCGTAACGTGGATATCCCATTAGTGTGCGCCAAGAGACACCGTCAGATGACGATGAAGTGCGCATACTCGAACGTCGAGTTGCAGTGTAGCGTCCTGCAGGCACATGGTTAGGCATTGCACAAGGGCTTCACGTGAGCTAGTAGATGTGATTTGCCACCTGCCAAGGATGGGCCGATACGGCTCTTTAGAATCGATACGATACCGAGTACGATATTTCCTTTTTTCTTCGATATCGATACTGTGACGTCATTGAAATAACTGTAAGTCACGTGATCTAATTGACTAAGCTAAGGCACTCTCGCACGGTTTCCGGTTCAGTTTTCTATAGTAGCATCAACAAGACAGTCAAACAAGTCAAAAATTTCAATTTATTGGGACACATTTTTAATTATCTCGAGTAAATGAAGAAGAATGCAATGGTACAATCTTTAAGCAATCTGCAGGTACACAATGAAATGTTACCAGTTACTGCACGGGTGACTTATAATAACCAAACACGGGTGCCCGATTTATTATGGATCTTGCGCTTTAATACTCGATACATCAGAGCCTCCCTGGTATACAGGACCATACAGAAGGGCCATACTTACTATTCGACGAGTAAACATAGGGACTTGACACATATTACTAGACCTCAAGTATCGGGTATCTAACGTCTACTTTACTTTCAGCCAGCCAAGTTAGCTAAAAAAAAGAGCTTAGCAGCAGGTAAAGAAAAATCTCAAACATTTTTGTTTAAAAACAAGAACATGTTCACATTCTTTGCCTTCAGCTGATTACGCCTCATGGAGAATAGCTCCCCTACTTTAGAGAACACCCTTTTGGCGGGAAAAGATTTACCAGGGATGCAAAGATACTTCTTCGCAATTTTTGCGATAAGTTCATAGTATCGCTCATTCTCCTTCCACTACAGTAAGGGATCTTGGAGTCTTGCCAGCACTGGTTCTTCAAAATACTTTCCAGCTTCCAGTGTTGCATTACTGGTTGAGGTTCTTTGTGATGTTGATTGCTTGACCACTGAGTCGAAGAGATCCCACAGGCCAGCTGCTTCAGTTGTAATACTGGGTTGCCTATCCTCATTGGAATCATTAGTCTGGACATGCCCTGACATCTCCTGAACAACCCACTGC